CGTCGTCGTCGTCTCCTCCGTCGTCGGTCGGTCGTCGTCGTATATATATATATATATATATATATATATATATATAATAATATATATATATATATATACATATATACGCATACACATACACATACACATACACACACACACACACACACACATATATATATATATATATCAACATACCTAAACACTTCATCAACAGAGGACTCCGACAGACTGTCATCGATGCTATTAGCACCCTCTCTCAGCGCAATCTGACGCATGGTATTCTCCACGCTCGTGCGTTCTAGATCCAGTCTCGCATGCACTATGGGCAAAAACCACTCGTGGTAGGACTCCAGCCGCGATTCAGGTTCGCCCGGATGCCTGGATTTGTGCGGCTGTATCACCTGCAAGTCAAACATGCGCAGGTGCATGTATAGATCATTGACCACGTCCCCTACGGTTGCGTACGGGTTATTGTTGGTCATGGACGGCTCGTGCCAGCATGCACGCGGCACTACTAGCATGACCGTCTCCTCACACTCCTGCGCTAACCTGTGGCACGCTTCAGAATATTCCGCTGTTTCAAGGTCCACGTGCACACTCAGCCGCCGCGACAGACTGGACTTGGACTTCTTGTGCGATGCTAATTTCATGATTTGTTTGGTGTTCTTCTGCACGTGGTAGATGTTGGTGTGCAGGCGCTCCTCCACGCTGAGCTGTATGAGACGAGAGAATGAAAGAAGGTGTAGAGATATCAAGTTAAGTCTCTGAAGCAGATGATGTTCTGTATATTTATAGGTCCTTGACAATATATGATATTTGTTTTGGTGGAGCTGTTAGTGTACAGGCGCTAGTCCACGCTGAGCTGTGTGAGACGAAGGAAAGAAAGTAGGTATAGAGATATCAAGTTTAGTCTCTGAAGCAGATGATGTATTAGTTGACGAGTATACTTTGTTTGGTATTCCTCTGCATGCGATAGATGTTTAAGTGCAGTAGCTCGAGTACGCTGAGTTGTATGGCCCGAATAAGTACAGAGATCAAGTTCAGCCTATGCCTATGAAGCTCAGCGTTAGGTGCGACTACCTCTACATATTTATCACTCGCAGACGAACACCCAAAAGCAAAATGGTTGGTCAAATTCTTATCATCGGTAGCGACAACAAAGCTAACAAGAAGGGGGGACTTAGGCACAGCAGAAAGAAATGTATCAAAACGTACACGCGTGTGCGCCAAAGGTTGACGTGTGCTGAATGCCGATAGTCACCCAGTAGACATGATTTAAGTTCGAAAATCCAAACCCAAAGCTTCTCAGGTACGACTGCTACAAAGGGGTATCTTTAAATAGCTTTAATAACTAAACCCTGACAGTATAATTACTGCTACGAGTGATCTATTTAAAACCCTAAACCCATCACCCTACTCGCTACATCTTTTATAGTCCGTTGGCTGCAAGGAGTTTATCTGTTGATTTTTCGCACCATGCTCACAATGCAGAAAATCCGAGTGGGGTTGTATGTTAATGGCTGAAGTCGCAAAACACCAAATGGTATCCTCAGATACTTAACTAACGCCCACTGCATGCAATTACATAGTCTGCCAACGCATGACCCAATCATTGACACTATAATAGCAATGGCCCAATCACTGACGCTATAATAGCAATGGCCCAATCACTGACGCTCTAATAGCAATGGCCCAATCACTGACGCTATAATAGCAATGGCCCAAACACTGACACTATAATAGCAATGGCCCAAACACTGACGCTATAATAGCAATGACCCAATCACTGACACTAATAATAGCAATGACCCTAAACACTGAAGCTACTAATAGCAATGTCCAATC